AGAGAGAGAGAGAGAGAGAGAGAGAGAGAGAGAGAGAGAGAGAGAGAGAGAGAGGAGCGATACAAGATTGTTGTGCAGCCCAAGAAGGAAGTGGCGGCCATGGCCGCCGAGCTCGGACACGGAGTGAACGAAGGAAAGAGAAGACCTGGCGAAGGAGGAGGGAGAGACGAAGAGGAATGAAGAAGTCATAACCAAGGAGGAGGAAGGAGGGACGACGAAGAAGAAGGAAACCATAGTCGGGGTGAAGTGAGAAAGAAGACGAAAGAAGGAAGAAGGGAGGAGAAGAGACGTAAAGGTTGGTGAGAGAGAAGGGGTTGGCAGCCATAGCCGAGTCGAGGGTTGACCAAGGCGTTGACCGAGGGGTTGACCAAGACTTTGATCAAGGAGTTGACCAAGGAGTTGACTGGCATTGACCAAGGCAATGACCGACGAGTTGATCAAGCGTTGACCAGCGTTGACCGGGGCTGTTGACCATGAAATTGACCAAGCTGGAGTTGGTATACTCTCTCCAAGCCTTCAGCCTATCCCCTCACCCTATGGATGTGCACTCACCCCATGGTACTTGCTGAGTCTGTCTATCTCTTCTTTCTGCATCAAGTCTCTTCTGTCCAGGTGATAGGAACTCCGTATATGAGGTCGTACAACTGTGTTGACGAAACCCACATGGGCCGAGTAGGGTTAAAGGTCGTGTCTGATGACTGACTGACCCAGAAGACAAACCCTCCCAAGGACCGGTACAGACCGGTGGGCTGCTCAGTGTGGCATGGTAGGCCCAAAATCCAAGCCGTGGGCTGCACAACCAGTTGTCTAAGTGTTGAGAGAGCTCTGCTGATCGCGTCGTCCTGACTGCGACGTTAAAGAATTCCTGAGGAGTTATGGGGGATCTCCCTAAATGTCTCCTGATCAGCAGTAGAGCTATGTAGTGACAACCTTAAAAGTAGGTCAAGGCTAGTGACCCTAGTTGACAGGGTCCTGATTCGGAGAGAAAGCCCAGTGGGATTGACCGCAGGTGCAGGGCATCATGCTCTGGTTTGTAAAGGATAGTGGTGGCGAAAGCTTCCGTCGGCCGTGGTAACTTGGCTAGATCAAAGGGTAAGGCTTTGTGGTCCTTAGAGAGTTAGTCAGTCAGTTACCCCCCTCAGTGAATTCCTCAGCGCCCTGCGATAGCGTTTCGCAGATGTCACCAGGGGCCTCAGGGCTTCTGACAAGTTGCAAACTGTTCACACGAGACAGTGGAAGAGTGTTAGGACATTGAAGGCCGACGTGGATGAGCTCGTCGCCATTCCTGGCCATGGGGTCACTGAGCCCCAATTGGTCCAATTGTTCTACCGCGCTATGCCCGACATGGGCATTTCTTTGATAGAAAGCAGCAACCCAACATAACGTACGATACGTTGAGTAGGGAGGTTGTTGCCTTTGAAGCTCAGTCCATGCCAGTTACCACTTTCTGGCATAAGGACCTCGCCAAAGCGAAAAAGTCGAAAGGCCACACCATCACCAGTCAGGTCAAGGCTAAAGACAACCTTATTCTTACATTAGATGAGGGTACTCTAGAAGAGGTCCCGTATAGCGAGATTGAGTGGGGCCTCGATGAGGCGGACAACGACACTGGCCAGGGAAGGATCTATGCTGCTGTCGCGGCCGGAGGGAGGCCGCAAGGAAGAGGAAGAGGTTAGAGCCAAAGGGGCCAGACCTCTGGTGATCGAGGGCAAACCGGCCAGGGGGTTGGCGGCAGGGGAAACCGCCAAGCGGGAGGAAGGGGTCAAGGTCCCCCGTCAAACCGTCGTTGCTCTAGTCGGTCACCTCCCATGTCTGGTGGATGGCACCCCGGTCGGCCTGAGGGCCGACCCTGGGAATCACTGGGCTTGGAACAGACAGTGTGGCAGAGGCGAATAGACCAGGATCATCGCATCTATTGCGGTGATCCTGGGCACATCATAAAATATTGCCCTAAATATAGAGAAGCCCGGTTTGATGTGCAGGCAGAAAAGGCAACCGCCGGTAGGGGTTGCAACTGCCCCTACCCCTAGACCATGTGGAGAAGAGTGCTCGCACCACAGAGAAACTCCCAAGCCACATGTGTCTATGACAGAGGTTGCTGGCCAGTGTCTAGACAGCTGTCCAAAGACTGCTTGTGTTAGAATCTCTCTAGGCACTTCCCTCACAGGGGAGAGGCGGTTAACGGAGACCCAAAATTTCAGCGTTTTTTGAATGCTATTTATAAGAAAACCAGAAGGCCTTTTTAACCAAAAATTGCATCATTCCATAGAGTGCACACCATATTAACAAACCATTAAAAAAAAATGAAAAATAAAAAATAAAAACAGGGTGAAACAGTAAGGCAAAAGTGCACTTGAATGACATTTTGGATTCAGCGAATTTTCAGAATTTTCAGCGTTTTTGGAAACACTCTTATCAGAGGAAATTCCAATGCTCCAAATTTGATACACAACAACCTTGAACTAAGAAAAAAACAGGCAAAAAGAAAAACAAAAAAAAAACATGAAATTTCACCCCCAAACCCTAATTTCAGTTTTGGACCTGTTACTCAGGAGCTGAAGACTGGGGGTCCCCGTTAACCACGTGTGTCACAGGCTGGCAGAAGAGTTGAAGGAGAGAATGCCTGCCTGGGCCAAAATGAAGAAAGATGCGAAGGGACAACTGGTTTTGGTAGATGTAGAGATTTTCAGAGGTAGAGTAGCGGCCCTTATAGACAGTGGGGCCACCCGCAGCTATATTATTAAGAAGGCATAGCAGAAGCTGAAGCTTAATTTGAAAGTCCAAAAGTTAGCAGACCCTATAGGTAGCATCCTCGTAGACAATCGCATTGTGCGAATCGAGGACTATGTCGAGGGAGTCCAGGCGTACTTTCGCCTAGAGAAGGATGGGAAGGTAGAGAAAGTCCTTCATTCCTTGACTCTCCTCGTAGAAGACAGTCTCCCATTTGACATAGTTTTGGGAATGGATTGGGGAGAGGCAGCAGGGGCCACACTCCATTTAAGAGAGCACGAGTGTAGGCTCCCTAGTCCATCAGGCGAAGAGAAGACAGCCCGCCTGTTCCATGTGTCAGGAGTAGATAACTCTCTAGCACATTGCTGCCTCAGTGCTCCCGTGTTCGCGCGATTGGTGAAGGAGGAGCAACTAGAGGAATAGGTCTTTGTAGCCTATGTACGACCTGTTACTGAGCCTAAGGAAGAGGAACCCACTAACCCAACTATTGCGAAGTTGCTGGAAGAGTACGCAGGCTTGTCTGAGCCGCCTACAGGTGTATTGCCGCAGCCAATCCAACATCGCATTGAGATAGAGCCTGGCAGTAGAACTCCTAAGGGGGCTGTTTATAGAATGTCCCCACGAGAGTTAGAGGAACTACGCAAGCAGCTAGACAAACTCCTCGAAAAGGGTTGGATTAGGCCCAACTCGTCTCCATTTGGAGCACCTGTTCATTTTGTCCCCAAAAAGGAGGGAGAGCTTCGTATGTGCATTGACTATAGAGGTCTTAACGCCATCACAATGAAGAATGCAGAACCACT